ATCATCTTTTCCCATACGATTACATGTAAAACCAAATAATTCGTTCCAACGCGAAAAACATACTCAAATTAAAGCCAAGTAATACATTTAAAAAAATAACTGTAGTAAGAAAAACAAATGAAAAATGCGAACTAATGTAATGTCGTATGGTGAGTTTTTGTTCGTATCGTGGAGCAAAAATATGTTCGAATTTCATGTCGTATCCTGAAAATTTCGTATGCTGGGGCGTTCGTAACCTGAGGTACCACTGTATTATTATTATTATTATTATTAAAATAAAAGTTACTTACCATGATCAGACATGATTTTTCCTTTAGCGAATGTTTTCTTAGATAAATCGATGAGTTTTTTTCTGGTAGTCGGTCAATGAGTGAAGTTTAAGAAAAATTTACACCCGCTCTTATCCTAAGCTACTGACCTACAAACCTTGTTAGAAGCGACAATTAAAACTAAAGTTAGAGCACATCCTCTTCAAAGTAATGCGTATTGAGAGGTTAGGTCATAAGGAACAGTTTGTTTTCTTTGTCTTGTCTTCGAAGAGTTATTATCTAGGTCATGAGAACATCTTCTAACTAGGATGGAGCTGTTTTCACGTGAATGTCATCGACCTTGGAGAGCTGATTCATTTCTTTTACTAATATTTAAAGATTATTTCTGTTAAATCTATAAAAACTAACACATAACCCTCTAAGGAGGATAATATAATATTTTTTTTAATATAGCATTTTAATATAGCATTTTTTCATGAGCCACCACGAAAATATCGTGGTGGCTGATGAAAAAAGTGCAATTGCCAGATATAGAGCTATAAATAGAAAGGTGAGAAATTATAATAAAAATAAAAGAACCCCTCTAGTCATGGCTGTTCTTCTTCAGACGGTCTATATCCCATACAAGGTTAGAGACCATTTTCTCAGCAGACAGCAGTGGGTAATGATGGCATCCAAAAATCAGAGACTTGCTGCTGCTGGGGCAATCGCACCCCAAAAGGAGGAAGAAGACTCTACCTGCTATTACAATCTAGCAGAAGGGCCTAGCTCTCCGCTGGAACCAAGTGATAGCAGCGATGAGTCATCATCCGAGGAAGAGGATTCTACCTCATTTGAGTCCTCATCCGAGGATGATAATTCTTCTTTCTCACAAGAAGAAGAATCACCACAAAAAGACAGAAATGGAGGCCTTAAAACAGGTGTGTATTAAATAAAACTTCTTTATGTTTTTTTAGTATTGAAAACATTTTTAACGAAAAAGTAAAAAGTACACAATTCTGTTGGATATAATCAATATTATATCTAAGCCTAACTCATATATAAAAACAGTTCGATATTTACGGCGAATCAGATGATTATGGTTGTATTTTCCGAATAAATAGTGCGAACACGCAATTTAAAAAAAATGATAGATTAACCTAATCTGCACCCCCGTAACATGTCCTATCAAGTCAAATGAGGAAAATCCAATTACCTATTTTTGTGGGTCAAGCTGAATGCACAAGTTGTTTATTAGCGGTCTACCTCCCATACTGTAGTATAGGAGGTTAGGCCTTAGTTAGGCTTATCTAGGGTATTAGGCTTAGGTTTGCTAAGCCTAACTTTTCTGCTAACTTTAATTTCTAAAGTTCAGCATTTTGGGAGCCAGCCATCTTGCCATCCCCAACTACAGGGCCAGAGACAACAGGAACAGTAGCCATATTGGTGAGTGCAGACTTTTCTACTTTTGGTTTAGGAGGGACCCGCTATAGCAGCAGACTGGTCCCCAGCTAGCCAGGGTTACCACTGGCCAAGCTTGCTTGGCCAACTCCACACCAGCCACCGACCATATAGGCAGGCTACACAGGTTCCACTGGTGTGTGCCAGCAACTGTTGGACAGTCACATATAGCGTCGGGCAGCTCATCTGAAACACCAAGAAGGTAGCGTCAGGCAAGCTCTGTGGACAGTCAACACACAGCGTCGGGCAAGTTTTTAGTGTATAATCCTCAACATCAGCCAAGCTGTTACAGCCATCAGCTGTTACTAGGTCGCCGCCTTTAACCGGTAAGTCTCTCTAAGTTCACCGGCCAACCAATTTCCCCCTCTGTCCGAGGCAGACTACGTCTCCTAGGACAGAGTTTTTTGGCCTTCTGGCACCTTTCCATCTTACCACTTATCACACTACACTCTCCGGTTGGCCTAACCACTGTACACATTCCATTATGTCTACTGTCAATCATTCTCAACCAACTGCCAATGGTCCACCTGAATCTCGTGTCATCATCGACACCCTGGAAGACACTATACTCAAGGAAGCCAACCAGCATTTTCTCAAAATCATGGACTTGCTCCCTGAAAA